CCATTCATATCTTGTTCAACAAAACTTTTCCAGCAACACTCTTGCCTTACTTTTGTGCTGCAGGATAAACCGTTATTTAAAATTTCTAAATGCAATCCTTCAACATGAAAATAAATATTTCAACAAATCGATTGTGATTTATTTTTTTAATTGAACTTTTTTCTCTGAAATAACTTAAAAAGCTTTAAAAAGTCTTTTCCTTTTGAAAAGGAATTACATATGTATGTCTGTTTGTATATGTAGAATATTTGAGGCAATTATTTAAATAAATTATTTCAAGCAATTTGAATACTTTCTTTGGCTAAATCAAGCGTAAATACATTGTACATTGTACATATATTGGTTGAGTTTATTGCTTGAATAAAATGCCAAAATGCAGCTATGGACATATGTGCATACTTAAGTACATACTTACATACGTATATGCATATATATGCGATCTTGATGGCCCTGATATGCTCAAGGCTATGATACTTACTAAAGAATTTTTCTTCAATTTCTGATTCAATAAAATTTTTTCTACATACTATGTATGTAGTGGCCATATACAAATAAACTAGGTACTTATTTATTTATGGGTATGTATAAAGAAAAGGAGAAAATATGAAATATTGCATTTCTTAGTAAAACCTATTCTTTTTTTTATTCTTTTAATCCCAATGTCATAATTTATGCACATCGTAGTGCATATACCTCAAGCGTCTAAAAAGACAACTTTACCGGCTCAACCAGAATAAATAAATATTATACACACTGGCTGACAAGCCTTCGGAAAGTAATCAAATTTTTTTTTAGGTTACCCAGAGAGAGTTAAAGAGGAAACGAATTTTTAATTAACTTTCGGCATTGCAGATAATTTATATAAAATCAAAAATAAGTTAAGTAAAATAGTATAACGAAACGAAAAAATTTAAATAAATTTAAATTAAATTAATTTAAGCGAAATTATATATTATCTGGAATGAAAAAGGTGAAACGAGATGACATGAAAAAAAACTAAAATGATACGAGACTAAAAGAAGTGAAACAAAATGAAAGGGAAAAATATTATTAATTTGCGGGCAAAGTGTTGTCAAAAGTCTGACAATAGGTGTTTTTGGAGGTTCCACTTTCCGATAACGATTAGAAGCTTACAAATTTGTCAGATTTCGCAGCGTTCTCAATTTGGCATTTCATTTGACTTTTACGGTGGAACGACCGTTTACACAAGGCAATTGTTGCTTTCAACTAAAAGTTGCCGGATTAATTAAATTAAATTTAAAAAATATATACATTAAACTTTCAATAAACTTTCAAAACCAAAGATTATTATTATTATTATGGGCCATATGCACCGCGACCTCTAAAGTGATCTATTGTGCGTGGCCCCCGGCCTATATGGGAAGGCTCTTAATGTAGCCTAGCACCTCCAAGGGCGTTTTGTTCCAAATTTCAAATGGATTAAGGGTAGCGCCACCAAAGTGGGCTAGTCTGCGCCTAGCGAGAGCATCACATTCACAGAGATTGTGTTCTGGCGTTTCTTCGTCCAGCTCACAGAAGCGACAGACGCTTGTTTCTGAAAGATTGATTTTACTGAGGTGGTAACGAAGAGAACAGTGTCCCGTGTAGTACCCAGTGAGAGTTTTGAGGTCCTCTCTGCCTAAATTGATTAGTTTCTTTGAAACTTCGTTTGAAGGACAGATAAATCGTTTGGCTTGTCTTTGCCCTGGACATTCCATCCAATGCCTGTTGAACATTTTGTCTACCCAGTTATTTATGGTCCCCTTTATATGTGCTTTGGTGAGCCCACAAAAGGGTTCCGGACCATAAAATACTGCGGCAGCTCCCTGTTTCGCTAGGCAGTCAGCCTCCTCATTGCCATCATGTCCCTCATGCCCTGGTACCCATCCTAATAAGACTGTATTATTGTCACCAAGAGCATTTAGGACATTGCGGCAATCATGTACTAGCTGAGAACTTATTTTGTGGGACTTCAGGGCCAGTAGGGCTGCCTGACTGTCCGACATAATGCAGATATATTTCGATGACGTTCCCCTTCTGAGACATTCTCTGCCACAAATTTCTATTGCATGAATCTCCGCCTGAAAGATGGTGGGGTAGCTACCCATTGGTATCATTTTTTTAAAGTTCGGCCCAAAAATGCCAGCCCCCGTTCTACCATTTTCAATCTTAGATCCATCAGTATACCAAACCTCCCCATTAGGTTTGGTGTATGGGTTCCCTGTATTCCAGAGAGCTCGATCTGCAATGTGTACCTCAAATTTCCTAGAGATTTCTAGTTTTGGAACCATTGCATCGCGCATTTGTAGTATGGGGTCATTAGCGAATTTCATTAGGACCTTCATGTGACCCGTCATATCTCCGATTTTCAGGTCGGAGGTGTTCAGGATTCTCAGTGCCGCTGTGGTAGCCTCCCTTTCTATTAAAATAGGAAAGGGAGGTATTCCAACCAGGGTGCTGAGTGCATCGGCCGGGCAGGTCTTCATAACTCCTGTTATGCCAATGCAGACTATTATGTGCAATTTCCTTAGCTTAGTGCTTGCACCTCTTTGTGTAGCCTTAGTCCACCATGGCTAAGGAAGCATAGGTTACTATTGGCTTAACGACAGTGTTGAATGACCAGTAGGTCATTTTGGGGGTAAGGCCCCATGTTTTACCAAAAAGTCGTGAACAGGCAACGAAGGCCTTCATCGCCTTGTTGATAACAGTGTCCAAATGTGCATTCCAGTTAAGTGTTTTATCAAGAGTTACTCCCAGATATTTAGCTTCACTGGAAAATTCTATTTCTGTGCCGCTCAAAGTGAGTTTAGTAGTAGATAATTTCCTCCTTCGAGTGAATGGAACAATAATAGTCTTTGTAGGATTGATGGTTAGGCCTTTATCCTCACACCATTTGTGTGTGATGCGTAGGGCTTGTTGCATGCGGTTGGTGATAGTTTCGTCATGAAGCCCTGTTATGCAGATTACCAGATCATCTGCGTAGCCTTGCGTATTAAAGCCTTGGCTGTTCAGTGTGAAAAGAAGTTCGTCTACAACCATAGTCCACAAAAGAGGAGAGAGTACACCCCCCTGAGGGCATCCTCTTGTGGCTGTTATCGATTCTATCGTGCCTCCTAATTCCAACCTGATGTTTCGTGTTCTTAACATTGATAACACCCATTGATTTATGATTGGGCTTACACCCTTTCTTAACAAGGCATCTTTTATTGCCTTATATGATGTGTTATCAAAAGCCCCTGAAATATCAATAAAGGCGCAAAGGGCTATATTTTTTAACTCCAGAGCCTTCTCAATTTTTGAAGTAAGGCTATGAATGGCAGTCTCAGTGGATTTTCCTGGTTGATAGGCAAATTGGTTCTTATTCAGAGGTCGTTCCCTTAGGTTGACTTCTCTGATGTACTGATCCAGTATTTTCTCCATGCCTTTTAGAAGAAAGGAACTGAGGCTAATTGGTCGGTAGGATGACGGTAATTGTTCCGGCTTACCCATTTTGGGTAGAAACACGACCTTAACCTCAGACCATATGCTGGGAATGTGACCCAACAAGAGCGAAGCTCTATAGAGTTTAGAAAGGACCGGCGCTATGTGTCTAATTCCATGCTGCAGGAGACATGGATAGATTCCATCCGGTCCTGGTGATTTGTATGGGCTGAATGTTGATAAAGCCCATTGCACCCGCTCGACAGTGGACAGCTTCGTAGCAAGGCTTTGTTCTCTTCCAGAGGTGGATGTTGGAGCACCCAATTCTGGTCGACAGTAGCCTGATATACAGCGCGGGAAGTGAGTATCCAGCAAGAGTCTGCTGGTCTCACCCGGATGCTGAGTGTAGCTCCCATCTGGTCTCTTAAGGGTGCCAATTGTATTCCTGTAATCCCTTGTTAGAGCTTTTTGGAGGCGTACTGCCTCTGGAAGGCTATTTATTTCCTCGCAGCGGTTTCGCCAGCTAGCTCGTTTGGATTTCCTTAGCTCCTTGTTGTAGGAAGTTAGCGCAAGTTTATACGGATTCCAATCACCCGTATTTTTTGCTCTATTGAATAGTCTTCTGGCCTGGCATCTCATTTGCTCAAGCTTCTTACTCCACCAAGGCACATCTCGTTTGGATTTTACCTTTCCTTGGGGGCAACTGCTGTTGAAAGCTATTACAATATCTGAGTGAAGCTGTTCAGCTTCATTCTCAAGCTCCTGTTTGGTTGTAATGGGGTGTTTGGGGCTGTTTCCGCCCTCTTCTATAGTAAAGCGGAAGAGTTCCCAGTTCGTTTTCCTGGGATTTCTGAAAACTAGTTCGTGTTCAGGAAAGAGACCCATATCGAATTCTATATGCATGTGGTCCGACATTGATACCTCCCCGGAGACACGCCAGTTTGTGACAGATGATGACATGTTTTGACTGCTTAGAGTTAGATCCAAGACCTCCCCCCTTAAAGCATTTCTAAAAGTCGGTTCATTGCCACGATTTATAATATTTATATTATGACTACTAATAAACTCGAGGAGGTACTCACCCCTTTTGTTGGTATCGGTGCTGCCCCAAACAGTGTTGTACACCCCTTGGAGTGAGAATTTCGGCCCAAACCGCAACCAGATCCGCCGTCATGAACTGTAATAGAGGAAGAAACGTTAGTTTTTTGCTTAATAGTATCGCCGCCCTTGGGCGAGGGCTGGGGGCATATATGATCTTACCATCATTGACGTTCAGACCTTTAACCTCACCGCGTAGTATCCAGGGTTCCTGGATGAAGGCTATACCTAGACCCTCGTTAGTGAACCTCCTGCAGAGAACAGCTGACGCTGCCTTGGCATGATGAAGATTCACTTGGAGGCATTTCAGATGCCTCGAGTTTGCGTTGGGCTTAGGGAGAGATGGCATTATTTGCGGTCTTTACGGCCGCGAGCAGCCACCTTCTTCCCCCTATTTCTACCCCGCAAGGCCTTCTCCTCGGCTATCCAGTAGCCGCTTTGAGTAGCCGCTTTGGAACTGCCATGTAGTGGTGGCCTAATTATGTTCCGGGGGAGCTCAATGGGCCTGACATTTTGTTGGGCTCTGTCTAGCACCTGCTGCAGGGTCAGGACCAATGTTGCTGTGGGTCGCGAAGGCGATGTCACGCTGGCTTGAGCTACTGACAGCTCAGGCGGCGGCTTTGTCTTTTCCAGCTCCGGTGATTGCTGCTTCTGTGCTTGAAGATCTGTTGAGAGCTGCCTCGGGGCGACGGTGACAGACTTCGAACAACAGGGTTGTTCGTCCGTGCCCGTTCCGTCGGTATCAGCGGCGTCCTTTGCTACCACTGGTACCAACGGCTTGGCTTTTTCCCTCAACTTGACCGTACCGTAGCCATAGTTGACAACATTTCCTCTCTGTTTGAGGATTTCTGCCGAAATCGGGTCTACCGCAATGGTGATTTCTACCACCCGATTTGGAACTCGCCAGTCCATTATTTTGAGGCCTTCATTCTGCCCCTGAAGAAGTAGTAGCGCGTCCTCATTCTTGGAGCTATTCAGCTCCGGGAAGAATCCCACCAAAATTATGGGGCGAGGCGTTTCTGTATCCGCTACCACCTTCATCTTTGCCCCTTTCCAGGGGGCAATCTTCGGAACTGTAGCCCTTATCCACTCCGCAGTTACTGCGTCCCTGCAGATAATGGATAACCATCCTGGACGAAAAGTGCAGCCATCAAAAATAGGCTTTACAGCGCTATCTTTGTTGCTTCTTATCGCCCTAAGGATGGCATTCTGAATGGCCCTCAGTTCGTCCGTCGACCAGACCGTAGCCGGATAGTCCTCGGGTACTATACCCAGCTTCACCTCACACAGTGCGTCCCTAAAGGATGCTGGTTTCACGGCCTTTCCGGCGTCTTCGCGAGGCAGGCTTGCCTCGGTCGTGGGAATTGTTACTGCCCCAGCCGGCTCAGCTCTCGCGAGTGGAGCTCTTTGATCGGGTTCTTTTAGCCGATCTCTCCTTTTGAGGGGGCCCAATGGGCTCTTTCGCTAATTCCCTAGCCTCCTCATAGCTCATACCCTTCTCCAAATAGCGCTTGAGGCGTTTTCGACCGGCTCCACTAAGCCGATCTCGCTCTCGAGTTTGGACGAGAGTATCATTACCTGTCGGAGAGGCAAGCAGCTTCTGCTCATCCTCCGGCGAGATATCAGAAAGCGTTTTGACGGGACTCGCATCCCGTCTAGCGCTGGTGTCAAACATCTCAACGTCATACTGGGGACTATGCGCCCCCGGTAGTTCTGTCGGGACAGTCCCCGTTTCGGCGGCTGCCGAAAGGCCATGCCCGGCCTCGTCTGCGAGCTGTTCAGCTCCATCTGTTTTTTTTTTGTTATTGTTTTTTGATTTACGTTATCCATAGTGTTCCCACGAGTATGGGGGATAGTAGTACCGCTGGGACATAGCCCCCACTATCCCGAGCGGGGCTTCTTACAACCAGAGGTCGCCAGGTATCTGGAGGCCACCGTTGTAAGACACACTAACGTAGTGCCATTCATCCCATAAGCACGGTACGGATGACACTCGGAATTACGGGTTTTATCGAGTTGTCCTCTCTAGATCCGCCATATTCAGTAAAAGCAGGGGCACCTCTCGCAGGGTGTGACTCTTCGCCACGTATGGTCGGTCTTGAGCCAACTGCTCCTGACTCAGAGCATTGCACCACGTATGGAACAATACCAAGAGCCTTGACCCCCAAAAAAAAAAACCAAAGATAAAACGAAGACAATTTTTTTCCATTGAAACTTCACAACTTTCATTTGTCTAAAAGTATGCCATATTTCTACGACGGTAGCAAAAGCAAAATACATTTTTATAATGAAGTGACGTATACATATATGCATAGCATAGTATAGTCCAATAATGCATACACAACAGTGCTTAAAAGAAAAACTCCTAAAAGTAGGCAGTAAAAGGCACGTCCTTCTTAAATTATTCAGTATATAATTCATGTGACAAAAGCGACACGTTAGAGAAGAGTCAACATGTAGGCGCATTAATTAATAACAAAAGTATAGCATACACAACAATAACGGATACAGAGGCACACATATTCGAATATGCATACATACTCTATTGTCTAAAAACTTCGCCCTATGTTTCGCATACTTTTAGGCTGTAGGAACGAGGCATTTTGTTAAGTGCTTCACATATTTACAGTAAACATACAATTTTTATAAATACACACATATGTATGTATGTATGTATGTATCAGGATAAATATGCTACATTCGTGCTACCATCAAAATCATTTCCGCATAGTCAATGCTACGCAGCATGTCTGGTAAGGTGAGCTTAACAATGGCGCATCGAAACATCGATAGGAAACGGAAACGGAAACAGAAATGTTGTCTTTCTTCTTTATTCTTT